ATATTAAATATAATAGTAAATATATATTATATTGTAATTATATATATTATATTATAATATAATATAATATACTCATAATTTTTAATTATCCACCGTAATTTAATTTCATAATTTATTAAACGTTATTACATTGAATTTGAATCTAATACAATTATTATAATTATAGTTTATCAAACACTCAATTACTTTTTTGTAACAACTATTTTTTTTTTCAGCACAGCTAAAAGTAATTTTTTAAAAATCTACAGCACTACCAAATTAAACATTTATATGAGAGCTTTTTATTGTAATAAAAAAGTTAGATGTGACTATTTCTGAAAATTTTTTACTGTAACAAAACTCAAATTTAAAATTCAAATCGGTGAAATAAATGAACCTACAAATTTCCTTGTCAATATCAAAGCTTTTATCAAGTAATCTCCTTGATTATATATAATATAAATCAACGTCTTTCATGAAATGAAAAAAAAAAAAAAAAAAATCTCTCTTCTGAACTATATAAAAAGCTGCTACTCAAAAATCTCTCTCCTCTTTCGTTGGCGCGCGACGCGTCTTCTGAATTTTGACACATACACGCCACTTCTCTCAGAGAAACACGAATCCAAATCCATCTTTTTGTCTTCATTGTACGGTCTACTCTGTCTCTTCTCCATATTTTCTTTCCCCTCCCTTCTTCAATGGTGAATGGCCTCAAACCCTTGAAGTTGAAGCGTTCTTCTTTTCGCCCATGACCGCAATTCGAATTCTAGAATCCAACAATCATCCGATTCCGACCCTCCCATGGTGAGGGACAAGAATCACCCCCAACGCCGGGGCCTAATCGCCGGCAACTACTGCCACGACGTCCTCATCCGAGACGACGTCGTCGTGGCCGAGACTCTCGGCGGCGCCGCCTCCTTCATCTCCGCCGTTCTCGACGGTCTCTCCCTCCGATACAGTTTGATTTCCAAAGTCGGCCATGACTTCGCCTACCGCACCAATCGCGACCCGATCGTGGTGCCTGATTCGGGAACCACTCTGTTCCACGCGCATTTCGACTCTGACACCGACGGCAGCGACAGCCACCAGGACCGAGTCCTGAGGAGAATCTCCGCCTGCGACCCGATTCGCCCCTCGGATTTGCCCGACTCGAGGTTCGATTTCGGAATGGCCGTCGGCGTCGGCGGCGAGATCCTCCCAGAGACGCTCGAGAGGATGATCGACTCCTGCGATACCGTGTTCGTCGACATCCAGGCTCTGATACGTGCGTTCGATGAAATCGATGGGACGGTGAGGCTCGTAGATTTGAAAGAGAGCGGCTTTTTCCACCTCCTGCCGAGAATTGGGTTTCTGAAGGCCTCGGGAGAGGAGGTTTTGGTCATGGACATTGACGAGGTGAGGAAGCTATGTTTTGTGGTTGTGACGAACGGGAAGCATGGCTGCACGGTGTATTGGAAGGATGGGGAAGTCCAAATTGGGCCTTTTCCGACCAATCAGGTGGATCCGACCGGTGCGGGTGACAGTTTTCTTGGCGGATTTGCGGCGGGGCTGGTTCAGGGATTGGCCGTTCCTGATGCTGCATTGCTAGGTAACTTCTATGGGTCTCTGACTGTTGGTCAAATTGGTGTGCCCAAGTTCGATTTGAGGTTGTTACAGGTATGTTTTAGCTATCTTCCTTTGCGTTTTATTTAGAAATGTAATGGAACGTGTTTTGTTGTTGCTTATGGTTTTTGGTAGCTTAGAGATGATTCTTTGCTTTGTAGTTTGTAATTAGCTTAATGAACAAATTTGTGCTCGTTCAATACTAATTCCACTTTGAAAAATTGGATTAAGCAGAATTGATGAACTTTGAAATGTCTTGAATGGTTTGAGGTAGTTGAATTTTAGTGGCTAGCTTATGCTTTTTCGATGAGATTTAGCAGTCGTAAGTTTCTAGGGAACAAATTTGCAGAGAGCTAAGCTTGAAGTGTACCCATTTAATTAAAAAATCATCGTCTTTGTACGAAATTTTAAGTTAAGCCTCGAAATGTTTGGAAGAAGGGATTAAAGTTTGAATCTTGCTTTAGCTCTTCCCTTTACGATCTGCCTTTCTTTTAAATATTATTTTTAGATGTCCCATATATGATTTATGAAACAGAAAAAGGAAAAACATGCATATATGGATTGCGATTGAGTTATGTAAAAGTTTGTCAAAGAGAATTTATAAGGATTGCGATTGAGTTATGTACTTATAGCCCTAGCATTTCAACTGTATTAGCTCTGGGCCCGGATCAGATTGTTTGGCTTTGTTATCTGATAGAGTATGAGTTCATAAATGAGTGAGTATCCTTAGAAGGTGAATAAAGGAAAACAATAGTAAAATAAGCAAGTTCAGTCAACTTTTTGTTACTCTTTAGAGTAATTATGTAAATAGTGTGGTCAAAAATGTTACTCCATTAGTCATACTCATATACATGTTTCGCCATTTCGTGAATGAGTAATTTCTCAGTTTATGTTGTTTATTCGCTTTGTTTTGCATTTCAGAGAGTTAAGGATGAGGTACAGAGGAGGAAGATGCAGAGTAATTACAGTAGCTACGAAAGAAAAGACGATGAGTTGAAGTTTATGAAGCTTGCTGGATTTGAACAATTTCACGCTTCACTTGCAGCAGCAAAACTGTTGCCGACTTGCCCTCTCCAAGAACAGGGTATTCACCCTCAGTTCACCGGGGCCGGGCAGCCTAAATTATTAACTAGTTCTGTCTTTGAAGAAACAATTCAAACAGTTGACACTAAACCGTGACTGGGAAACTTCTTTTCCACATCTCTTTTTTTTTTTTTTTTTTTTTTTTTGATAATTGGACTTTTCCACATCTGTTTTTCTAGGTCAAATAATACTTCTCAAGTAGAGACATGTCTTTGAATACGGTTATTTTGCATCGTATGTTCATTATGCGATTATCGTGGTCGCTCAGTGGTAAACTAGTGCAGTAAATAACTTATAATTTTGCAAAGAAGCTGAACTGTAGATGTTGCAATTGGATGTTATTTGTCTCCCATCTTCAGTTTTAATTAGAACTGCGAAGTCAATAAACTTGAGAAAGATGGAGGTTTTGGATGATTTGGTTGTGACTGAGTAAGGATAAGACGTTTGATTTGTTGAATGTAGAACACGACAAGTCGCTTGCATACTTTGGAAGACAAAAATTTTAAACGACGAAGACACGTCGTTTTAGTGTAAATAATATCATGACTGTGATAGCAAAGCTTTCTTAAACCACTGAACGACATTTCGTAGAAAGAAATGGAATTTATTTTTAAATCGCGATTCGCCACCAAGCTTGTGTGTCGTTTAATCATAGACGACAGCAGCACCTCAAAGAAAGTCTTCGATTGCGTGTTTACACAACGTTTTGACGAGAAATAGAATGCCTCTTTACGGCGAACCATAAACAATAGTGCATAGGAAAATAGTAGAGAATACGCCAATATGAAAAGCTTAAGAAAGTATGTAGGTTAATTTTTAGTTATAAAATTTAATATGCCATAATTTTTTAATTTCTAAATTTACCTTTTTCCCTTTTTCTTTCGATCCTCTCTCTCTCTCTCTCTCTTAACTGTATACGCTGCTCTCTCTCTCTCTCTCTCTAGCTTCACGCAGCTTTTCATCGGTGCCAATCCTCTGTAACTGTGTTCGGATTTTCTCTCTCGTCGGTGGATCATCGGTGGATCAATTTTTCGTCGGTCGGTCGTTCTCTTTCTCATTGGATTTGCTCTTCTCCAGTCGTCTTTGAGCACCTGTTTCGGTGATTTTTACCGAACAACAGGTTTGAGTATTCTTGGTTTCTAGTTTTATTTTTGTTGTATTTTCGTTTTCATATTTTGCATTATTTCAGTTTGCTCTCTCTTTGTCCGTTAATCCAGTGTTTTTTGTTGTTTTCCGGTCGTTTTTGAGTAGGTCCTCCGGTGATTTTTACCAAACAATAGGTTTGGGCATTCTTCGTTTCTAGTTTTTTTTTTGTTGTAATTTTGTTTTCACATTTTGCATTATTTCGGTTTTTTAATATTTTTAGGATTGAATATAGCTCTTGTAATTTAATGATTTTTGTAGGCATACAATCTGTTTCAGTCATTGACAGTTTTTTTATAACTTATCAGGTTATGGGACATAACTTGACGAGCTATGGTCCATAATTGACAGGTTTTTTACATAACTTGTCCGGTTATGCACTTTAACGTGACAGTGTTCCTGCAATATGTTTGTAGGCATGCAATCTGTTTCAGTCATTGTTGCTTATAGCGGAAAATGGAGTCTAGAATATGGTCCATAATTGAGAGGGTTTTTTACATAACTTGTCCGGTTATGCACTTTAACGTGACAGTGTTCCTGCAATATGTTTGTAGGCATGCAATCTGTTTCAGTCATTGTTGCTTATAGCGGAAAATGGAGTCTAGAAAACCAATATACAAATTTTGGTTTTCAATCAGTTTTTATTCTGGAGGATGCTTTTTTGAAGTTTTTACAAGAGTGTTTATGTGAGGAGCTGTATCTTGAGTTGATTGGTTTTAATGCTGGTGTTCATTCTTTATTACTTTTTATGGGAAGGAAGTTGAAGGACCCAATTGAAATGGTTTCGGAGCTAAAGAGGGATGATGATGTTAAGTTATTTTTAAACTTGGTTCGACACAGTAGGGAAGCTCTTGGATACTCGTTGGTAATAGATTTTGTTAGTAGCTCCGTTAGTGCAGCGGGATCTACTTCTTCTTTATCTTGTTTTATGAGTTCAAGAGATGAGGCGTCTTCTTCTAATGTTGATGGTTCTGTTTGTCAATTTGAAGATGATATTGATGTTGCGATGAATAATATTTTGATTGAAGATTTGGATATTTCAAAGCTGCCTATGTCGTTTGATGTGAATGTAGGCAATCAATTCATGAACAAGTCGGTTCTCAAGAAACTCATGCATGTAATTGCTATTAGGAGGCATTTTGAGTTTAAGTCTGAAAGATCTAATAATTCATTTTATGTTTTGGTTTGTAAGAATAAGAATTGTACTTGAAAGATGCGTGCTGCTAAGGTTTCAAATGGTAATGTTTGGGCAGTGAAGAAGTATGTTAAGGAACATACTTGTTCCCTTGATGTTGTTAGTGTCGAGCATCGTCAAGCAAATAATCGTGTTGTTTCGGAGTTTTTAAAGGGCGATTTTAGCATTGGGCTTGCGGACTGTTTGCGTCCTAATGATTTAAGGTCTATAATGCATGGTAAGCATGGTGTCGAGATTAGTTACTACAAAGCACGAATGGTTCGCCGATACGTGTTAGCATAAATGAGAGGAAGTGTAATGGAGTCGTATGTATCCATTCCTTTTCTGTGCAATGTTTTCAAGGAGAAAGATTCAGGTAATTTTATTTTTATGTGTTATGCTTATGCTTTTGTTTATCTTAATGTTTTAAAGGAGAAAAATTCAGGTTGTGGTATAATTTGACAGGTTATTTTTCATAACTTGATAGGTTATAGTCCATAACTTGTCATGTTATCGGATAAGTTGACAGGTTTTTGTTAAAGTTTATCCGGTTATGGAGCATAACTTGACAGGTTATGATTCATAATTGACAGTTTTTTTGCATAATTTGTCCAGTTGTGCACAATAACTTAATTAATTTTCTTTGTAGAATCTATGACTTCTTATGAGCTTGACAATGATGGGCGGTTCAAGTATTTTTTTTGTGTGCTTAGGGGCTTCTATTCATGGTTGGCACCATTGTAAGCCTGTGATCTTAGTTGATGGCACCTTTTTGAAGAATGAGTTTTCTGAGACCTTGCTTCTCTCTGCAGTTTTAGATGCTGATAATCATATTTTTCCGTTTGATTTTGCAATTGTTGATTCGGAGACTGACTCCTCATGGGAATGGTTTTTTGAAAGGCTTAAGGAGGCTATCAGAACTCACGAAGAACTTGTTATTGTTTCTGACCGAAAGAGTAGTATCCCAAAAGCAGTTGAGAAGGTTTTTCCGGATGCATCTCATGGATTTTGTATGCAGCATTTACTTAGAAATTTGAATTCAAATTTTAAAGATGTGCATGTGGATGCTATATTCTATCATTGTGCCAAGGCATGCCGTGAGGAAGACTTTGGTTACTTCATGCGTCAATTGGAGGCAGTGCGACCAGCTATTCGAAACTATTTGCTGTAAGTAGGGGTTGAAAAGTGGGCACGTGCTCACTTTGAGAGGAAGAGATATGATGTCATGACGGCTAATATCTCCGAGTCGTTGAATAATGTGTTAGTGAATGCTAGGGAGTATCCTATTGAAGCTTTAATTCAGCAGTTCAGATCCCTCTTGCAAAGATGGTTTTATGAACATCGAAATAAGGCAGATCAGACTTTTACATACTTGACTAAACAGACAAATAAATGCCTTCGTGATAGGAAAAAGATTGCACGTTGCTTATCTGTAAGTTGCTTTTGTTTCAAGTATTTACTGATTTTTTTTATGTTTCCCTTTTTTTTTGTTTCATTTTGTTGGTTATGTTTTTGTTGTGATCTTTTTTATTTTTTGTGTTGATTTTGAGATTTTTTTGGTCTCTTTTTTTTTTTTTTTTTGAAGTTATTCTATTGTTTGATTTGGTGATTCTTGTATTTTGAAAATTCTACTTACTTTCAAGGTGGTTGCTTCTTTTTTGATTTGGTCTTTTTTATTTTTTCACTGTTGGGGACTTAAATATTGAATGCTCTGTTTTCTTTCTTTTTGTCATGTTTTCAGGTTCAACCCATGGATATAAATAAGTATTATGTTATTGATGGTTTTGTTGGTGAGGTAGTTGACTTGGTGGCAAGAACATGTAGTTGTCTTGTTTGGCAAGCTGACGAATTTCCATGTCCACACGCCATTGCATTGATTTGGAAGAGAAATCTTGATCTAGCACATTTTACTTCTTACTATTGCACCAACAATGCATTCAAAGCAACATATGATGCTGTAATCTATCCTCTTAGTAATGGATCACAGTGGCAAATTTCAGAGGGCAATGAGGAGGAGGTTGTTCTTCCTCCTGAGTTTAAACGTGGTGCTGGGAGGCCAAGGAAGCAAAGGATTCTTTCTAGTGGAGAATGAGAGAAGCAATCTGTGAAGTGTAGTCGATGAAAGCAAGTTGGCCACAATATGAGGACTTGTTCAAACCCCACATCTATTGATATGAACTTATCAACATGTTCAAAGTTGATTTTTTGTCATTATGGTTAAGATTAACACTGTTTGATTCATTACAATGTACTGTAGTTAATTTTGTTCAAAGCTACATTTTGTTTGGAATTGATTCTAACATTTATTGAAGAATTCATGTGAACAATTTTGGATTTTTGTTATGGAGAGGAAGTAGAACAATTTATTTTTAAAACATCATGTTTTTTTATTGGAATTGTATGATTTGAAGGAAAAATATTCAAATTTGTCTAATAATAAAAGAAATCTGGGCATTTAAAAGGAAAAAAAAAACTATTGGAACGTTATAATAAAGAAAATTGAAACCCATAGTGAATAAAGTTGAAAGATTATGGTCTAACTTGACAGGTTTTTTTCCATAACTTGTGTTGTTATGGACCATAACTTGACATGTTATGGTCCATAATTTACAAATTTTTTATTTGGTTATATATTAAAACCCTTTCCTAGATTTTTTAGTCGGTTTTTGTCCATAACTTGTGCTCTTTATTTTCTCTCTCTAAGACTCAGTTTTCTCTTTCCTAGATTTCTCTCTCTTTCCACCAGCGATCTCCGGCGATTTCTTTCTCTTCCTTCCTTTGATCTTCGGCGATCTGTCTCTCTTCCCTCCGGCCGTCTACTACGATTTTTTTCTCTTCGCTCTGCAACTCTCTCTCATCCCTTACAGTGTTCAATAAGCATTTTCTCACAGTATTCTTTTTCGATATGAGTTAAGTAGTTTTTTTTCGCGTTTCTTTCGCTTTTCTTTTATCTGATCTTGCGATTCCATTTATTATTGTTAAAGATATGGCGAAATCACCAAGCAAGAGGAAGAACAATGCTTTTGTTTTTTCTCTGAGAAAATGCTCGAAGGTTCTGAAGAAGAAAATTGTTCAGGAGAAGAAAAGTTCGGAAGAAGTTTGTCTTCCTTCTCCCACTCGTAACATTTTGGAGGTATTTTGATTTATTTTTTCAACTTA